ACACACACAGTGAGAGGCCTGCTATTATTATATTACTATTATTTGTTATATCGATTAAACTTAAACCTGATTATAATCTGATCAGTATCAAGCAGTTAAGCTTCATTAACTGTCAGAAAAATCTTATGAGTTATAGTTCGGTGTTCAACAATTATGACACTTAATACCATTTCTCTTATTCAGAATCATGTATAATGATGGGTTAGTGACACATTTCTTATCTTTCACATGCCTGCAAACACACAGAGACACAAATCGAAACTGGATCATGTCTATTTGTCTATGCAAACAAAATCCAAACACCACAATAATTTTTATTACTCAAACTGCAGCTTACTCAAAACTTTCATACAGCATATTGATTCGATTTCTTTCGTGACTTTCATAACCAATGGCCTGTATTTATATAGCGCTTTACTAGTCCCTAAGGACCCCAAAGCGCTTTACACATCCAGTCATCCACCCATTCACACACACATTCACACACTGGTGATGGCAAGCTACATTAGGCAACGGGTGAAGTGTCTCGCCCAAGGACACAACAACCGAGACTGACCAAGCCGGGGCTCAAACCGGCAACTTTCCAATTACAAGGCGAACTCCCAACTCTTGAGCCACGATTGCCCCTAGAATAACCAAGAATAAAGATGATTTACAATTAGCAAAAGCACATCTAGATAAACTCTTTTATAGCACTCTGTGTCATTTTTGACATAAAGTCTGGATGTTAAGACCTTTTACCCTTTCTCAGATGTAACTCATTGTGATGCCTGAACCATTGATACAACGTAGGATGGATTAGTTCGTGCTGCTTACACCAAATTCTGACCCTACCATCTGTTGAACTTCAGCATGCCATCTTGATCAAGTCTACATGCATAAATTAATTGGGCTGCTGCCATGTGATTGGCTGTTAAAGAGTAATTATAGGACAGGTGTATCTAAAGAAGTGGCTGGTAAATGTATGAATCACAGATTTGGCCCATGTTTGCCGAAGAAAATCTTACTGGTTGGTCTGTTTATGGCTGTGCTTCTCAATAACAGACCCCTCTGGATTTGAATCAGCTTTATTTGTATTGCTTCAAAATCTCAGGTCACTTTAGATCACATCTAACTGAACTGCAGAGGTTACATCACATCAGCCTTAAACTGCACATTTATGCTGCCAGCAAGTAAATGTGAGCAAGTTAACACACCAAAATAGGAAGATTAAGCTCATATAAGTTATATTATGAACAACTTCTGTCAATCTTATTTGTGCCTCATTTCTTTCTTGGTGATTTTGTTCTTCTCTTGTCCTTTCTTCCCACTAGTTTCCCACTAACATGTGAATAAGCTCACAGCTTTAGCTTGGAGCAAGAGCTATAGGCTTACACATGTAAGCACAGTAAACACCAAATGCACAGATGCTCTACCCATACTATATGCACGCATGACAACCAAAGCAAACCAATGGTGTAAATTAAAAGTGGTGGCTGAGTACTCTTTTATCAATTCTTTCTTTCTTTATCTACCAGGTGGTGATTCGAGGAGAACTTTCAGCTGACAGCGAGGCCTCTGAGGTCCTGGCCATCGATGACTTATCCTTCAGCCCCGGCTGCGGGGCTGTGTCTGGTACTGGTACCATTAATAACATCGCACCACACAGACAGCACAAGTTCACACCCTGACATTTTGAAATATCGCCGCACATAAACAGACCCCCACAAACTTGTTTTGAATACCGATACCAGGGAGGTAGGGTGCTAAAACACCTGGGATGGCATTCATAACAGAATAACTGCATCGTTAAAATAGTGCTTAGTGCATGTTTTGCTCTGAATATGGAGCCTTTTTTGTGTGTGTTGGCTTATTTGTGTCGGCTGTAATGTGCCGCCTGCAGCTCCGTGATGAATTTGATGCGGTTCAATACCGGTTCTTGACCGGGAGCGTTCAATAAAGCACTGTCCAGTTGGCATTTTGGACATAATCTGAACATGTTGCTTTCACATTATTTTATGCAGTTGTGAGCCCAAAGCATAGCATCACCACAACCTGTTCATGTTCTCTCATCATGAAATAAACAGCAGTTGAACTTTTTTATTGATCGTCTTGTTTAGACTACAACCTTGAGCTTATTTTCACCAAAAACTGAATAACAACAGGTCCTTATGATGGGACTTTGGTGTAGAAGGATGCAGAGCAGGGCAGCTCGGCTCGTTTGTGATGAATGTGAATAACCTTTAAAAAATGAACTCGTAGAGGTTGTAGCAAAATTGTATGTTAAGGAAGAGAGCCTTCCTAGCTAGGCTTCATTTCTGTGACAAAAAATTTAAAAAATGTACATTTTTCATGTAAACATTAAATCTAGTTGCAATCAGTATGTGGAGAGTTGCTCTTGGCATTTTCAGCTCATTGCATTTGGTCAATCCCAGTAGACTTATTCATTACCTACCTGGCACCAGAGCGGCAGCTAATGAGACATTATTTTCTTCAGGAGATGGTGAAGATCTAAACTGTGCACAGGGGAGGAGTGTATGCTGGTGCTTTATAAACAGGCAACTGTTTTCAGCATGCTTTCTATATAATATTAAAGTTGTCAGTTTTTTGTTTAAAGCTTTTTTACTTTCTTTTTTTGCTGCTCCCAAATGGGGAAAAAGTGGCAAAGAGTATTTAATAAATGCAAAAGATCCTGTCACTGCGTATTCTTAAGAGTGTGGTGAAGCATCACCAAGCCTAGTTTGGCATGTCTAAGTAGACGAGACAGTTCAGTGTCACCTTGGCTCATGGTCCCTTTGCTTCCATCTGTCTTCTGCACTCACAGTGGATTTATTAAAAGCTCCAGACTTCAAAAGAGGACTGTTAGTGTCCCTTTAATCACATAAAAACCAATAAACCAAATGCTAAATAGTGCATAACAGACAGCTCATTAGTCAAATTTTAAACTCAAATCAACTTAATACTTTTTTCGTTTACAGTCAAAACTCTGCTAACGCTACCTGAGCTGCACATATACGATTTAAGACACTGTTTTGAAAAGAGTCCGACATCTAATCATGCCAACCACGAGGATTTTTATACATCCTTTATTATTCATCCTGTCTCATCTATGGCCGATTTATTTGTTAGACTCAGTACTGGCGGCTTCGCATGATCAAAATATAACCAATATATCTGAGCTGTGATCGAGTGGATGTGGCTTTGGAGCTAAGTTGCTGTAACTGTTTACCACGTTGTGTTGCAATCATTATTTTTCATTTATGTTCTGCAGAAGAGTTTATTTTATAGTTCTCAAACTGAGTGCACAAGTTTGCAGACAGAAAACTATTTTCAGGCACACCTTTTTAAATGATATAATATTCAGTTATGCTTGTGGTATGTGATGTACAGAGTTAACGTCATGACTTGGACCTCTGGTTAAGTTCAGGCAACAAAGCCGCTTGGTGAAGCTTTGCAGTTATACATTAAATGTTAAAAGACCAGTTTTGGTTAACCCTTTAATGCCTAGCCTATCATATTTGACACATTTGATACAAAAAAGAAGCCCAGTACAGCAAATATGATACAACTTACAACTCATGTATGCAAATTATTATTTAATTAATTAAAAAAAAAATAAGTTGGAGGGTTTAATAAATTCTTCAGTGTCAAAAGTTGAAATTAATTTCTGACAATTATTTCATGGTTCACATTTTAAAGGGTTGAGCTTTGCTCTAGTTTTGAGTTAAATATTAATAGACCGATCTTTTCTTTAAAAAAGAATAGTGCTCAAATATCCTCATAATTTTTGTGCAACTTCAAACAATATTTTTTATAATTATCCCATTTATTTGAGAGAAAAAAATCCACATAGGTTATATTTGCTATGATGCCTCCATCCATCATGAGGGCAGCAGCCTAAGCAGAGAAGCCCAGACCTCCCACTCATCCAGGGGAACACTGTGGTGTCTTCAGGCTACCCGCGAGATGTATCTTGGGTCTATCCCAGGGCCTCTTCCCAGTATGACATGCTTGGATCCCCTCAGTTGGCTCCTTTTAAAGTGTAGGAGTATCAGCTCTACTCTGAGTTACTCCTGAATTACTGAGCTCCTCATCCTATCTCTAAGAGAGACAGTCTCATTCTTCTTATTGCAAATTAGTTGAACATTAAAGCAATCTGTAAGCATCTGTTATGTGCCATTTAGAGTGTGGACACACACTGGACTGGGAGTCATAATAACAGAAGAAACTGCTGCTGAGTGATTCTCCAAATTGAAGTCAACAAAAAGACAATCCAAAAGAAAAAAATGACACCAGCAGGAAATGCAAACTCTGGAAACAGCAGGGAGTGATAAACAGAAAGACAGCACACATACTGACCACCCCCAGTTCTCATTTCCAGAAATGCCCATCCTTGATTCCTCTCCTCGCGTCTTACTCCATCTCACAAAGATACGAGCAGATGAGGCGAGGGAGAGACACGAGGAAAGAGAAAGACAGCAGGCATTTAACAAAATGAGACATCCTCGCCTGTGAACCTCGTTTTAAAGCGATGCCAATTAAATTTGACGCAACTGCATCGAATATTCCTGCATTTCATGATTTCTGATGCAACAGTGCTTGTGACATGATTTATATTTAGGATTGCAACGTGGCTTAATGTGAAGTGATGCCATACGCTTTTTAAAGTTACAAACAGAAGCAATGCAGGGCAGAAAGTTGGATCATCTTAAAGTAATTTATTGGTCCTCCAGCAAGTCTCATTTCTCCTCTGTCCTCCTTCAGTGACCACTGAGACAGATTTTCAGGACACGGGCAGGAGAACAAAGGACAAAGGAGACAAGGACACATAAGCAGTGAAATGAGAAAAGTCGCAGAAGTCTGGAAACAGCGAGTAGTGACAAACTGATGCAGACAGTGGGAGAGATAAGACTGACAGGGCTGACTGGACACAGGTGAAAAAAATTTGGGTTGGGGCACCAATTCGGAAAAGTGGGAAATAAGACAAGCACGGGAAGCAAAAACAAGTGGGACATGCAACGTATTTAATATTTTCAGAATATGGAATACTTTTAAAATGCAGCCAAGAGAAAACATGAACTAAAATTCATAATAAAACCTGACAGCTTTACCTCTTAATGCTGTATTAATCCAAATCCTTCTCAGTTTTAATCCTTTCGGCTGAGTTTATTCCTTATTTCTTTTCAAAGAGAGATACTAAAAACTCGATGCAGCAGCAAAGCAGCCTTTGAAAGACTTCATTTCAGTAGCCAGCCAGAAGCCATTTACAAATTAGGCAATTTTTCAAATGTTTCCAATACTCCTAATAAGAGGAATGAAGCTGAGTTCATTTGAGTGATAAGGTCTGAGATGATATTGATTAAAATATCCAAACTAATCAACAGCTGTATCCAGTCTTCCATAACATAGCCAATGCACTCTATCTCGACACAGTTAAGTTCATCTTTATTAATAACTGTGGTAGCAACTGTAACTCTTTATTAGCTCCTGACTATCAAGCCAGTGAATACTGCTTTCTCATCCAAATGTACTAATGTCGTGTTTTACTGGTCCTTCTTAGGGAGGAGGGTGTCCTCTCCTCCTGCCTGCCCTCCCTTGTGGTTCGTGTGCGATGATGGGGAGTGTATCGAGGAGAGCAAAGTGTGTGACTTCACCCCGCATTGTTCCTCTGGAGAGGATGAAGCCAGCTGCCGTAAGGATCTTATATCTGAGTTCACACATGAAAACAAACCAAATCGCACTGGTGTGCTCGACTGAGCGACAGGCAGCATGAATTCCTGTTCATCCACTTTGAACCATATTATTACCTTAGTTAAATATGATATATATTTTTTTAATTATCTGATACCACATTCACATTTTAAGCTTCATATTTGTGGCGAACGAGTTTTTGTTTTTGCATGATACATTTTTTATTAAGTGAAAAAAAAACACAAACATTATAAATATTTTAGTTCAGATCACATTTACAGTACTGTGCAAATGTCTTTAGTCACTCATTTCTTTATATTTTGCTTCTAAGAAACCAGACTTTCTCTTGAGCAACAGCTCTTCAGGCTTTCTGAAGGTCTCAGAGTTTTTCTCACTCTTATTCGTTTGTAGTCAAGTTCTTATACTTGAACATTTTCTGGGGAGTTTTAAAAAACTTGTTAAGCCACTTAACACAGACCTATGAATTATTCAGTTTTTCAATTTTTCATTAACAAAGGCACCTAACTCATAGGAGGAACTAGTATTGTGTCTGCACATAACAGACTACTTAGCAAAGAACCAATTTTAAACTGCTTCTTTGGTCACTTTGCTATTAGCAGTCTGTTGCAAAAACAGATAATTTGTTCCCATTACAAAAAATTCCAAAAATAACACCGTTCAAAAAGGATAAAAAAAAAACAAAAAAAGAATTTTTGCAATTTAAGGTGTTTCCCAACAAACTATTAGCTGAAAAATCTGTGCAGCATGTCCTAAAAAATTTGAGAAGTGAAGGACAAAAGAAGAAGTCGATCCAGCAACAATCCAGAAATAGTTTTAGTGGAAAGTTGGCTGTGAAGAAGCAACTCTTAAGGTCGCAAAATAAGGAAAAACATGCGTGTATGTCAATTTTTTTTCGGTTCAAATCATCACAGTGAGTGTCAACAACAGGGTGGATTTATGAAAGAAGAAAACTGCCCTCAGATTTGGATACAACATGCAGTAGCACACGGGAAGCATTTGATCGACAGCGGCTGAAATTTTCATCGTAACAATGATCCCTGATCCACTTAGCAATGCAGTCAAAGCATACCTGGACAGAAAACACACAATAGCACACCATTAATCATGGATTGGCCTCCCCAGACCGCAACATTATTAAAGCAGTGTGAGATCATCTTGACAGAGAAGAGAATAAAAAAGCAGCTGTGTGTTTGCACATTTCACCACCAACAGCCGACAGCAGACCTACAGTAGAAACTGGATGCCAGAGTCAATACAAGAAAACAGACGGAGAAAACAGATTGGAAATGGTTCATAAGAAATACAAAGAGAACCTGGCAACTGAGTGGGGAAACAGCAGGGATATATGGGAAGACTTATTGGTGGCAGGTGGTTCACAAAACAGGTGGAGGGACAAAAAGGAGGAGAAGTAAAACTGAAATTCATCAGAACTTCTCGTTTTAAATTGTGGCCTCCAGTTTTCTTATTGTAAATTTAATCTTTGGGAAAGCATCCTGTTTAATGTAGAAGCTTTTTAAAAAAAAAAAGTTAAATCCATTCAAATGATTAATCTACGTATTAAAAATCTCTGCAGTAAAACTTGGGATAAAGTTTGTATTATTGACCTTTTACTCATAATTTGACAAAGCATGCTCATTTCAAGGCCCAGTAGAATCACTAGAACACTACAGTCTGATAAGTCTTCTGGGAAACATCATGGGATGTGGCTGAAAATCATCTGTTAATGTTAATTTCACATCCAAGCCTCACCTTTATGTAACTTTGTTCTTTATGTCAATATATTTAGCCTCTGAGTGTGACTTTAAGAGTGATTCTTGTGGCTGGTACGAGCTTACCCTCGGCGATGGCTTTGACTGGGTCAGGGGCTCATCGATGGAGGTACCTCCAGACTACTATGGTCGCCCACCACCACTGGACCACTCCACGAACAGCACTGAAGGTAAGGGAAACAAACACACCACAAATCTGCTGTAGCAATGCCACCATGTGAGACATGAAGCCAGTGAGAAGGAGAATGGAAATGTGGTAAGCCGATAACGTGATTTCACTGGATTCTAGCCAGAAAAAAAAAAAAATTATCCACTGATTAAATTGAGGTTTTGTGGAAGAAAATTCCCGCACTGTCTTTTGTGAGATAAGCACTTCATGGAGAAACGCTTTCTCAGCCGTCTGAATAATAGAAAGGAAATCGACATATGCTTGTACCCATTATGCATATTAACATTATTTACAGAAATCAACAAGACTCTGCAGAGGTCTATTCGAAGTTTATGTGGCACAACATGCAACTGTATTTTTATGCCTCGTCGCATCTTCTTCCCTGAAGAGAATTAAGTCTATAGGGATGGATTTTAAAAGCAGTCTTCTTGAAGTCGGACTCCACACAGGCACCATCTGTTGTTGTTCTCACGTAGGCTGTGTGAAGATGCTGTGAAAAAACTGCTCTGTAAGGTGGCTGTGCAGACTCTAAACTGAAGCTTTGTGAAATAATGACACACATCCTGGTGGGAGCATCTGTTTGAGGATGTAGATGACTGTGACCGCTCAAAGACTTATCTCGGGTGTGACAATGTGCAGGTATGTGGTGTGTTCAAAGTGTGATTATTTGGCAGTGGGACACCTTATATGAGCCAAGAAAACATTTCAACTTCATCACACCGCCGCTTCAAACTGTACAGCATTAGACAGCATGGTTTCAGCCTATTCAAGCTGTTTGTGCCTTTCGAGACTTTTTAAACATGAGAACCACCAACGCTTTGCTCTGCAAAGATAAACACCGCATCTCTTATTCCAGTCTTCTATACTCTAAATATTTGTAATGTATTAGTAAGAAAGGAATCTGATTTATATTAGACTATGCAAAAGATGGACACCATTACATCAGCTATTAGTTATGAAAGTCCTGTTTATCAAGTCTCAAAGTGAGTCTTTTGGCCTTAATGTTGATGTTTTTCATGGTTTTATTGGTTTCTTCCATATTTTGAAACCTAGTGTCCTCACATTTTGCTGTTTCTCATGGGAAATCACCACAATTTGCATTACTTCAAACTTTAATATGAATAACTAATTCATGCATCCATCCATCCATACAATTTCAGCCCATCTGTATCCACAACCTGGCAAGCCATACCTAATAATCCAGTTAAAGATGTGTGTTTGAAACCAATGCTATGAAGTGCTTTTTTCATATTTTGCTTAGAGAAGCATGGTAAATAACTTTTCTGTTATAATTTGTCATTAAAAATTGGAAACTTTTAGCTGCTCCCTCATTTCCCAATGGATCACCACAGCAGATGGATCCATGTGTTTGATTTAGCACAGATTTTACACCAGAAGTCTTTCCTGACACAACACTCCCATTAATCAGACCAGGCATCACATGAGCTTGTGATCTCTTCTCTTAAATAGGTAAAGAAAGATTTGTTGAGGGAATTTTAGTTTGTAGAAATGATTGATTGATTTCATGAAGGAAAAAATTAGAAGTCACTTAGAAAAGATCAAAAGAAAATGTAAAAAATGGGATGGCTGTAGCTCAGGTAGAGCAGGTCATCTACCAATCTGAAGGTTGGTGGTTTAATCCCCGGCTGCTTCAGTCTGCATGCAAACTATCCTTTTGTAAGATACTAATCCCAAGTTGAACGAGTGAGTGTGAGAGTAGAAAGAATTTGCTTGTATGAATTGAATAGTTGTGAATGTTTGAATGAGGTAAGTTGTATAAAGTGCTTTGAGTGCTCAGATAGAGTAGAAAGCTCTATATAAGAACTATTCCATTTACCAAACTAATCATTACAACACTTTTCAAAATGACGAGGACATTATCTGTTCAAATACTCAAAGGTCAGCTTCACTGTTCTGCAGCAGTTATTTTTAATCACCAAGGAGAGACTGTGACCATATTTCACAGTTGGTCTGGTCCAGAGTAAGTGACACTAATCTTTGACGTCCCACTTATTAAATATCTTCAAGCTCTTAATTACAGCAAAGATTGTTTTAAGTTGTTGGCTGAAGCATATAAAACAGCACTGCTGTATTATTATATCCACTATGTGGTTTTTTTGTTGCATCTCTGGTAAGAAAGAAAAGATAGAACCTGAACTAGAATCAAGTTAAAGAACGTTTCTATTCTGTGCCTACTTGCAGTTATCTTCCAGCTGAAAACATGGACTTCTTTTTTCTCAGCTTTGTTTTTTAAGCTGTATTATTGTTATTATTATTATTATTGTGCTGTTTGCAGAACGGCAT